TAAAAGGTATTTTTATTTCATTAAAAGATTGTATTATTATTAGTTTTTTCCAATTTAATAGCCTTTTTCTTAGATATTATTATTGTGATTGAATTTTCAATAAATTAGTAGATAATTGAGCTAATTGATATTATAAAATTTTACTTTATTAATCATAATATGTTGTTGTATAGATTTAATTTTAATAAATTTCATTTTAATCTCTTTAACCTTTTAAATGATATCATCTAAAGTAACAAGAAAGATAATTATAAATTTTTTTACTCAGTAATCTTATTTAAAAGTTTACCATCCTTAAAAAAAGTTGCTTAAGAATAAGTTGCTTAATCAACTATTTTAACAATCAAAGTTTATTTTAAATAATATAACTGCTTGAAATTAATAAATAATCAAAGTTTAAAAATCTGATTATTTAGTTTTTCCTTAAACTTTTTTGACTTACTTTTATTTAAGCTATATTTGGCTATTAAATAATATGGGATCTTTGAATTTCTAATCCTTTAAATAAGCAGAGAAGTTAAAAAGTAATATTATTTTATATATCTTTTATTCAACAAAAAGACCTTCAGTCTTTATAATCTTTACTAATTCATTTTGATATTATTAGAATAATTAAGATATATTAGTATTTTTTATCTTAGATTATTTGCTAAATTACTATTCTTGAAACAAAGCTTACTTATATTGACTATATTATTTTTCTCTTATAATCTATTGGCAATGAATGCATCTTTAATTTCTTATATATGCTTCATTAAATTGATATTTTATCTTCTTCTTTATAAATAGTTACTTTTTGTTTAATATTAAATCATCTTAGCAAATGATTTCATAGAAGTTGATGAGCTTACATAAACATGATATAAGCTTAAAAAATACAAATAAAAAATATAAATGATCTTATTTTTCAAGAAATTCTGATGACTTTTCAATAATAAGCTTAAAAGTATCATTTGATTCTATTCTTTTGATATTTTTTCATCAGTTTATCATACTTTAATAAATATATTTTAAATTTATTCTTTAATAATTATGTTTATTTTAACTGCTTCAAGATCAAATTTATTAAATTTATTTCAAAATGACTTTACATCCGCCTATTAAGCTTTATTATTTAAATAAAAAAATTACTGAAATTACTAAAGAAAAAAAATATAGGGAGAAATTATTATAATAAAAATATTAAAAAAAGAATAAACAAATAGTGAATGAATAACTTGCTTTTGACATTAAGATCTGTTGCTTTTGGCTTTTCATAAATAAGTTGCCAAATACTTAGATAGTATTTTTAGAAGTTATATAACTTCTGATTCTTTAGATATAAATAAACTAGAATATTACTTTTAGATACACTTGAGGTATAAATAACTAACCTTTTTTTGTAGTTGCAATAAATGAAATAAATTTTAATATTAAAAATATATAATAACTTGTTAAATATTAAATTATTTTTTTGTTTAACGTAATTTCAAAATAAAGATAAAATTGAAATTTTGGGTCTAAGATTTTTGACTTTAAGATTAGATTATTATTGTAATCAAAATGATTATCAACTATTACATAATTTTTTTAATTTTATCACATATTATATAATTTTCAACATGAGATTTTGCAAATTTATATAAATTATATAGATAATTAATTTTCAGAATCTAAAAATAATAAGATTTATAGAAAAAAATATGAAAAATCAAAAATCAAATAAGGTTAATAAATATCACGTTGATAATCATATTATCTAATTCAATATAAACTAACTAAATTATAATTTTTTATTTTAATTAATCTAGCAATTTTAAAATAATATTATATAATTTATTCTTTAGTAATTCTATTAAAAGGGAAATGTATTTTTATATTGATTACTTGAAGTTCATTTAATACCAATCAAGTTCTTTGATAAAAGATTTACGCATTAGTTAAAAGAGAATTATTATTATATGAAAAATTCAAAAATTATAAGATGTTAAATTGAAGCATGTGAAAAGAAAGTTATTATTAATTTAGATAATTTAGATAAATCAGAACAATCCATAATTATTACTATTACCATAATTACTACTAATACTATTGGTAATATAAAACTTTTATTCAAAATTTTTAGAAAAAATTCAAATTTTTATACTTTGTTTTTCTAATAAATCAAAATGAATTATCTTAAAATGAGTTATTATTTTGGCAAGACCTCTATTATTTTATTATATAGCATTTATTAAGGGTTTTAGAATTAATAATATAAATCACTTAATTATAAGATTTTTAAATTTCATCATTCTATAATCTAAAAATCTTTAAAAAAAATCAACAAATTATGATGATAATACAGAAGATATTTAAAATATTAATGAGTTAAACCTTTATAAAATATTTAGATTTACTCTCATATATAAATATATAATTTATCAACTATTTTAAAAAGAAGAGATCTTTTTAAATTAAAGTGTTATTCAAATATTTATTCTAAATTTTTATAATTTATCTCAAATTTGTCAGATAACTTTCCAAATGGATTAGAAGAATTAATTTCTATTAAAAAACATTTAAAGTATTTGGAGTTAAAATGTTATTTGACAGAAACAAGTCTACTATTTACAAAACTTCCTAATATATTAACTAAATTACATATTATTAGAGGTCAATATCATATATAATAGTTACTAATTTAGAACTTTTAAATTTATAAGAACTTTCATTATCATTAATTAATAAAATAAGTGGTTTAAAAGATTTTAATAAACTTTAATGATAACTTTTTAGAATTGCAATTTTTAATATTCAGATATAATTATTTAAATGATGAATGCTTAATTAGATTCTTAAATAATTATAAAAAAAATTTAAAGATACTTAGTCTTTACAAAAATTTTGATTGTTCATCAAATTTAGAATTATGAAAGTTATGTTCTAATCTGAGGTTATTATACACTATATTTTATGGAGACATATTATTACTAAAAGGAATTTTTAATAGCTATTAATAATTAGAAAGCTTAGAGATTTTATGTTGTAAGTTCTTTTTTTGACGAGCGAGAATTTTCACCTAAAATGTTTTATAAGTTATTAATTAATTTTGGTATTTATATATATTTGAAAACAATATTTTAATTAGATTAAGATCTATTTTGAACACTAAGTGAATTATGTATCATGTATTCATTTTTTTTTTGAATATTACTTAAAATTCAGGATTAAATATAAAACTATCAAAAATTAATATCAAAATAATTGAAAAATTTAAAAAAATTGGATGTTATTAAGAATAATATTAGTTATTGAATTACTAAATAAAAATATATATTTCATAAAATAATATGTTATATATTTTAAAATTAATAAATTTTATAATGATTATTTGTTTATTTTATATTAAAGTTTTAATTATTTTAAGTTATTTTTTTATAGGGATGAAATAATCTAATCCAGTTAAGTTTTTTGGAACAGGCTCTAATATAATGAGGGTACATAAATTTTACATCATAAATGCCTGATATTAAAAAACCAATTTAAATTTGGATTTTAAGAGTGGTTTAATTTAATTTTATGTATTTTTATTATTAACTTTGAGTATTTGTTAATATAAACTGATCAATTATATGGGTTTGTATTTTTAAATCTCTTCTCTTTATAATCATTATTGCAAATAATTAAAAGTACTTTCTTTAGAGTGATATATATTACAAATATAAATAATATTTAATATTTATGATATTCAAATTAAATAATTTTTAAATTTTTAATATCCCTACAGGTTTAATATAAAACTTGATCAATAAAGCATTTATAAATAGGTTTTGGACAATAATTATAAGTTATTATGCTTTATAACTTTTAATATTATATTTATTGGAACATTAAATAGGAATAAATGAGCTGAATAAATCATTAAACAAAAATTTTCAATTATTATGAGTGCAAATGGAAACAATGTTAGTAATTGAAATAACACTTTATTTTTATTATTTTATTATTAAAATTAATATTTTTTTAATTATTTTTAGATTATATATTATTAAATTATATATTGATAATAATATTACTTATATAATTGCTATTAAAGTTTTAGTATATTTTATTAATTAAAATAATCACTTATTATTTTAATAGAAATTTATAAACTTATTTTAAAATTATTTAGATTAAACAAATATACATGTAGTTTATAAAATAATACAACTTTATCACAAATTAAAAGCATTATTTGAAATAGTTAATGAAAAAACTAAAATTCCTTAAAAAGCAATATATAAAATACTATTTTGATAACTTCTCTTTTTTTTAATGTTTTTGAAATTATTAAAAAACTTAAAAAAAAAATTAATATAAAAATACTAGTTGTGCATTAATACTTTCAGAAAAAATTAATTGATGATCATGACGTCATCATTTAAAAAAGCTTAACAACTAAGACGCGACATGACGCGTAAAATTGGTCCTCACTACGACGTAATTCTTCGTTTATGTGATTATATTAACTCCCCAATTTTCACTACACTCCATGATGCAAAATATTTTTAAAAATACAAAGTGAAAGGTTCTGAGAGCCGTTTTTAATTCTACTATTTATTTTTCAAGTCAAGCTTTTTTTAATCTTTATATACTTCGAACTTTACTTTATTATTTATTTTATCTTTCGACGACTTACTCTATCTAATACCAGGTAATACTGAGTAGATTGTGACTGTTTTGTCTACTGTTTCTATATGAGGATCGGTTATGTTCTTTCTTAGCAGTCGAAGTAAAAATTAGTTTTATGCTTAACGTTTTACGTTCATGATAGTAGTAGAAGAATATCCATTACGCCATATACGTCATTAACTAAAAGTTGGTGATAGGAAAGGCTGAATAGTCAATACGTTAGTTCTCTAATAGCAAGGACGCTAATGCTCTGTTCTCTATTACTGAGTGTTTAATGGCCCTATACGGAGTTTGCACATAACTATGATTTTGTTTCTGTTACTCACAATCGTTTAATTATTTATCCTTTTTCATTAGAGCTAATGATGGAAAGACCAAAACATGAGGAACAAGAATACTACCCTAGGATCATCGTGAGACTTTGTTTAGATCGAAGAATTTAAAGATCCAGTTTATAGGTTCCTTTGTTTGAAATCATTTTATTTAACCAGAAAGTAAGTTAATTAACTAACCCAAGAAAATATTTTAAAGTTTCATTATCTTAAAGATCTTAATAATTTTAACACAAATAAATTTATTATGTAGTTAGGATTATTCATTCGAAAGCATATTCAGAGAATTCCTTCAAAATGGTAAGACGTTAAACGAATATCATTTTTTTAATTTCGATGCCCTTGCTTGTAATAATTATTATTAAATAAAAGCTGATGACGTCGGAGCTACTCAGTTTCATGTAATCATCGACGATCGTTCACATCCCTCATACTCTCTATTTACAATGAAATGAAGGTCTGGCGGGGTCCCGCAATCTTAATATTTAATAATCAAATTTGAGGAACCTGATTTTGAATCGCTCATGCAGTTACGTGTTGGTGGAAAACAAGACGATTGGGAAGCATGGATTAGGTTTCAATACGTGTTTTCATTTACGATGTTCCGAGTTTCATTAGCGGAGATTATATTGCGTTTTTGGATCCTCAAGAGAAATTCTTGAGACAACGTGGAATAATAGGCCATTTCCCAACAAATGGCATTGAGGGGCTTTCTGAAAAGGACAGTTTGGTCCCTTTTGAAGGCATCGAGAGCATCAATTTTCGTTCGAATTTTAAAGGAACACACTTTCGAATCCCATTTCGAAGGGAAGCAAGTAAAATATCCGACAAAACTTTCTCGATAGCTGAGATTCTTGAATTGTTCTTCAATCTTAAACCAATTATCCTCTCCCAACTATTGTATTTTAAGTTGTTTAATTTCTCATAATCAATTAGTTTAGTTTTATCTGAAAAACAGGAAATTCGCCGTTGATAACATGTTCACATCTTTTTTTATTTCTTACGGTTTCATCCAATCCCTCCATCGTCACTTTACATAGAGGTTTTATTTGAAGAGGTACTGTAGTTTCAGATATGTGATAAATTTCAATTGTTTCGATATTCGAAGAAACAAAAATTGGATTTTCGCTATTGGTGCGCAGCAAGATCCTGAAAATTCTCAATTACAACAATATGCGCAACGATTTCGATTACGCGTATTAGATGGCGTTGCAAGACCACTTGAAAATTCGAAGGCAAGATGTACTCTTTTATTTTATTATCTGATACCCCCACCAATTTGCCAGTTCATCTTAACGGATCTTGGGCCCAAGGCTCAGACCGTGCAATGCTACTGATTGAAAACACGGATTTAGATCAACTGAAACTCAGTTTGAACAGGCATATTTGTGCCAAAACTTCATCGCAAACTTCTAAAAGAAGCCATCAGTTTAAACATTACGGTTTCTGTCTCAAAGTTCTAGTTTTTCCATCCAAAAGCATCAAAAGTACGCAATTGAATACGGTTTCAAGTACTGAAATATATGTTACAAACCGAAACTATCTTGTTTAATGATAGCTCAGAAGAAGAAGTAAATGACCATGTGAATAATTTCTTCGAGTGTTTGTTAAGACAACGTATTTATGAGCTACGCAGCTTACTAATTGATTATTGGTAAATGGTAAGACCTCTTTATTTAATATCGTTATTAAAATCAATGTTTTAAGAACTTATTCTTTTCTAATTTGTATATAGTGAAAATCGGATGATGAGCTAGAATCATTAGTTCGCTTATTTCCTATTTGTCCAATATTCGAATTCAATTCGGAGATGCTTTTAAAACAGCTTCGTTCGGATATTTATTGCCAACTTCCGTTTGCTGGTATCAAACAAGAATTTCAACAATTTATTTTTGTGGTTATCGTCAATTTCTTACCAAACTTAATGTCCCATTGAGAAACATCTATTCTTATGTCTTTCAGGATGTTGAATTTTCTAGAGAATCCAATGACTCTTACGTTCGCTTCCTAAATAGCGTACTTAATTATTATGATGTCGTTCAAGGATTAAAGGATAAACGCTGTTTTTCCAATTCAAATACAAGGATTTTAAAGAATATTACAGATTTATTCGACCCCAACAATTCAGTTTTGTTAGGTGGAAACAGAAACACGGACGTCTTCCTTAATTCCGGTATATTAGAACACACCGAGAGTTTATCAAGTATCGTAATAAAGTCAATGAAATATCATTTAATAATTGCGCTGATATGATGATTGAGGAATTACAAAATGTGCCGGAACCTCCATCTGACATACTCTATCGAGGCTACATTGGTTTAAAATTTTACTTGGAAAACATCAGAAAAGTACCAATCTTTCCAGTTGCTAAAGTTTGGGCGAACCTTACGACAAACACTATTATCACACTCACGACACTCAAGAATTTTTGGTTGTTTATCCTTTCCAAGTATAGAGATGTCGCGTGGAGTAAAATGTACTTGATTGCAGAAGATATCATACCGCCTCCACAAGTACTCCAAAAACTTTCATCATTCGGAAAACCAAATGTTTCCAACATAGTCAAACATTTTCGTTTCTTTATAATGACCTCCGGAATGATGATGAATTGAGGAATAGTTGGGTCGATAGATTCAAGCATGACGTTTTTGAGGTTTATAAATGGCTCGAATATGAAACCTCACATGAGGGTATCGACTTGTCCAAGTACATTCGTTTAAATGATTCTTTATTCCTTAACTTTACCATAGATCAAAATCCGTTTAACCGCGATAATTGGGTTACTGCTAAATATTTAATTTTAAACCGTGAGCCAGGTGAAGACCAATATGTGAATCCAATGCTTGCCAGGTATCCTAATATGCTCAAAGGTGCTGGTGTCAGAGAAATAAAGCCGCTAATTATGAAATACGGGTTAAGCAACATGATCAATCAAGTATTAACAGAAAAAGAGCATTGGAATTTCTATTAGATCAAAGATCTCCTTTACTTTTATTGTGTATGGTGAGAAAATAAAAGCAAATCGATTTATACTTGCTTCAAGCTCGAGAAACCTTCAGAGAACTCACAGCAAATCCGAATAATCCTATCTTTATTTGAAACATTCAAAATATTCAACCTAACTCTATGCGTATCTTGTTACGTTATCTGTATAGTCAGGATATTGACGACGCAATTCAAAGACGAGATTCAATTAATGTTTGGAATCGTAGGACTGGGTATGAGACTTGTAATAATTCAAATGTGCCACTTTATAAAGATCTTCTCTCAAGCGTCTGATGTAAAAGATATGAAACCTTTTGCAGAAAATTTTAATGCAGAACAGCACAAGCAATTTTGCCATCATTTGATTCATAATAATTCTCCATTTAAAAAATATTCAGAGTTTCAAATTTTTAGTAGTCAGTTGTATTCAAATCTCAAATCTCAAATATCAATGTAATAATGTAATAACAATGCAAATAAAATATTGTCTTCGTAAGCCTCCAAATTTAAAGACCAACTAGAGTTTGCGGTTTGCGGGGACTTCGTCCCCGTTTAGCATTAAGTGATTGATTGATTGCGTAATCAGTTCAAATAAACTTTAAAATGTCACTTATGATAAACACAAATTACATTAAGAGAATATTTAATTTAAAATTTCTGAATAACATCAAAGTTATGAGCTCGGTTTTTTAATTTGGGACATTACTTATAGAATTATTTGAGTAATAAAATTTACTTTTTAGTAAGAGAGTGTAACGTGACGGACGTTAAAGGCTATAATTTGAAATTTGAAAGCTTTATGGAATATATGAGCACATTGCCACAATTACGTAAATGTAAAGTAAGAATTTAATAATTATAGGTAAATTTGTAAAGGATGATGATTTATAGAAGTCTCAATGTTTTAGCCCATTAATGCTAACAAATTAATTCGTATTGCTGCGCCACGTTTCTTTGACAAAATGCAAACTTTATGATTATTGAACTTTGCGCAAATAATGTGAAATATGTAAATCATTAAATCATACCATTGGAAAGCTGAACAGTCCTCATTAATAAATAAATTATTGTTTATATTTCAAAATCTTTACATATATTTTTATTATGATATTTGGAATTAAAATTTAATGCATAATTTCATCTAATATACAAAAATTGAAAAATACAAAAAATCTAATAAATATAAAACATTTCATTATTTAACAATTGTAATATCTTTTTTTTATTGATGTTGTGACGTATTGATGGTCAATGAGAAACCTACAACCACCTAAAATAAAAAAATTTTTATTGGTTAGAGAAACTCGAAACTTTAAACTTTAAGTAATTCAATGACGCATGTTCATGAGATACCCGATTACACATGGATAATAATCTAAGAATTTTCTTGAACAATTGACACATTAAGTGTAAACATGGGTATAAAACTTACTTGGCAATGTAAATGGTTTATTATAAATTTCCAAGTAGAGTGCTTCTCCGGCAAGTGATTATACCGAAATGAGTACCTGCTGTAGGAATGCAAGATCTAAAAAATTAAAAGAATTTTTTATTGAAGTAATACAGTGACGCATGTATTCTAAACAGGTTCATGAGATACTCTAATGATATCCGATTACACATGAGTATTAATCCAAGAATGCTCTTGAACAATTGACGCATTAAGTGTAAGCATGGGTATGAAACTTACTTGACATGTAAATGGTTAGTTATAGAATTCTCCAAGTAGAATGCTTCTCCGCAAGGGATTATACCGAAATGAATACTTGCTATAGGAATCTAAGATCTAAAAAATTAAAAAGAATTTTTTATTGAAGTAATACAGTGACGCATGCATTCTAAACAGGTTCATGAGATACTCTAATGATACCCGATTACACATGAGTATTAATCCAAGAATGCCCTTGAACAATTGACGCATTAAGTGTAAGCATGGGTATGAAACTTACTTGACAATTAATATGAAAATCTCTTTGTGAGATTACTTCTCCGACAAGTGATCATATCGCAAAGTACATTTTCAGTAGTTCTCTTTAGGAATTGACGTTTCTGGAATCTGGGATTTTTCAGAATGTAAATATAACCTCGTCAGAATACAGGATTAACTTTATGCCGAAGCTTCGCCTAAACAAATACAACACAATAAAACTTGCCTTATTTTCTGAAGTTTTCTTTATGATGAATATCATGGCTGAAATCTAGGAGTTTTGAAATGTAAACATACTCTTGTCAGAACGCGGGATAATCTTTTTATGCCAAAGTTTTGTCTGAAACTCAATAAAACTTGCCTTATTTTCATGAAGTTCTCTTTAGGACATGATATGGTAAGACGTTAAATATGCATCTTTGACAAGTATCTATCGTTGCAAAATGTAAAACCTGTTATAAAGTAATAAATTTCAAGGTGTAAATAAAAGAACTGTGGAAAACTTCTTTAGCAATATTTTGTAAAAATTATCGTCGTGTCATGGTTAGAAAAGTGGTTTAATATATTAAAAATACTAGCAGAATATATTTTTGTTCGTTCAAAGTATAACAAGAGTTATGATATATTTGTCCGCTTTTTGATGATTATGTTAAAAGAAAAATTTTGAAGATAGAGTTGATGATGTTTCATTTAATGAAAAGTTTTTTTCAAAAGTATATATTATGTTAATATTTTTATAACACGTAAAGTATAAAAAACGTGTATGAACAAATAATAGCGTAGTCATGAAGATCATGCTGTTTTTAGTAACTTTGTTGAGTGGAAAGAACTCGAACTTTTATACTTTTATTACTATTTAAAATGTATTCTGCTCATACAATACATTTCCTTATTTGAATGTGACTCACAATTACATCGAAAGACTCATTATCGAGTGATAGTCTTTCACGTGATTTTAACTTGTAAAAAATTTCTGCGAGGCGTTGATTTAAGCAATTTTAATAAAATATCAAATATATAATGGTTCTTTTTGAAAATGTCTATAAGAAAAGTGTGAATATAAAAAAGGTGAGTATATAGAGGTTGATGAATCTTGTATTGAAAGGAAAATTATCAAATTTCATTAAGACAATTTTCCTTTTAATTACCATTAATATGCATGTAGTAAATTAATCAATTAATTTATAATGATCAAAAATTACCTTTTTCTTGAAAAATTTTTTATTTCGAGAATGAAAAAATTCTTTCGAACAATATAGAAAATCGATTAACAAAGCATCATTAAGGTAATAATGTTATTCCTAAATCCTCCAGAAACTTTACTAAAGATATTACTTCAAATACTCTTTTCTTTTTAGTAAAGTTTTGAAGATTAATCAACCTTGCTATTTATTATGCGTTCTTAAAAAAAAAAATTCAATGATATCCTTGATAATTTGTTTTTAAAAATATTACATATAAAACAATAGTTAACTATATATTTAATATAAATTACATCTACATCCGTAAAGTTTAGCTTCAATTTATATTATCAATAATAAATATTAATGGCAAATTATTATTTAAAAGCGTTACTTCTAATAATATTTTCTTTGAAGCCTAAAATGTATGATCTTAAAAAAAATATATATATATTTACATTTCAGAATGTTCTTATTTTGCCAACTTCATTTTAATAAAGTATTTACTTCTTTCATCGTTATCATTGTATTAATATTAACCATATTTTTTTTTTGGAAAATCGTAAAAATTTGGGCTATTATATTCTTTGAAAAATTAAATCAAGTTGCGAACATTCCAAAGTGATAAATTAACAACAAAATGTCATAATAAATTCATATAATAATACATACAATTTGTCAAATTTCTAAAAAAGAATTAACACATGGCGAAGCGAATTTTGAAAACTTTCATAAAACTATAAAAGAAATTCTGAATTATAAAAATTTAAAGTTATATATATGTATGTAATTTTTTTTTCGAAAGGATCATAATTAAACATACAAATTCAAAGGATGTTATATTTTTTATTTTCTGAGGTAAATTTCATTTAATCGAATAAACTACCTTTTTTTCTGAAAATAAAATAGTACAAATTACCGTTAATTAAAAATAAAAATTTTTTACAATTGATAATGAATGAAATATATGAAATCTAATCTTTCTATTTTCTTTAAAAAAAAAAATGTTTTGAAACAAGGTTAAAGATATGTATTTTTATTTGATTCAAGAACGATGTAAGAAGAGGAAAAAAATAATAATGTCAAAATTTTTGATAAATTATATAATATCATATCAGTTCAAACTGCTCTAGGCTTCACGACAATATCTAATTTAGTACATCTCTTAATAATTCCAGAAAAATCAATTTCTAACGGATCATTAATCTTCTTTAATAACAAATCATATTTCAAACATTTTTGTACAACAATGGCAATTTTTCTACCGGGGCAAATTCTCAAACCCGATCCAAACATTAACAAAGCATCTCTCTTTTCTGATTTAACAATATCATCATCCATAACATCCATAAATCTATCAGGGTTAAATTCTTTCGGATTTTCGTATTTTGAAGAATGATGAATACCTTGTGCATTGATATAGAATTTTGTACCAGATTTCCAGACATGATTCGCTATTATACCATCTTCATTGCTACAACGGTCGAGAATTGGAATTGTTGTTGTGACTCGGGAAGCTTCTTTGATAATTGCTTCACAATATTTTAAATTAGAAAGTGATTCGAGTGTTAAAGGATTTGATTGGTTTGAGACAAGAAAGTTGTCAATCTCTTGAAATAATTTTTTCTTGACCATAGGATATTTTGCGAGAAGATATACGACGGAACAGAATATATTTGCAGTCTGTATAGATTTAAAAAGAACACATAAGAATACAAATCCCTTTATTTAAAAGAAAAAATCAATCAAATAAACTTACAGTGTCAATTCCACCACTTGCGGATTCAAGCAATAAATTCTTAACTTCTTCTCTTGTTAAACAATTTGAATCATCTTGGCCTTTCTCATCAACAATTTGATAAGGATAGATAAAAAATCATGCTCGAATTCATCTTTTTTACCATTCTCAAAATCACGCTTCCTACAATCAATTATCAAGAGAATCTTCTCATATAAATTGTCACAATTTCGTAAAATCTTTTGTTGTTTATTTCTAAATAACGTATTTCTAATAAACCATGGAATTGAAACAAAAAATTCTAAACCGATCGTAAAATCCACCACGCTCAACGCAAATCTATTGAACTCTTGTTCGTCTTTAAAGATGGAGATTGTTGAATGTTTTTTTTACACCGCCGAAAACCTCCATAAGATGACTCCCAAATGTTAATTCAATAATATTCTTTATGGCAAAATCCTCGATCCATTTTTGAAAATCTACAACATTGTTATCGTTTTTAATCAAATTATGTTCAATCAATTTGAAGATATCCTGACAAAATTTTATGGCAAATTTCAAAAGCTCATTGTTGAAAGCGACTTTCATAAAGTGTTGACGTTGTATACGCCAATCCTGTAAATTATTAATATCCCTTTTCCTTCGTAATTTAATTTGTGTAACCATCTTCATTAACGATCCTCATGAGAAATGGTGATTTTTTCTTAAAACGTTAGTCGCATACTCTGTACTAATAACGATAACGCGGTCATTTAAAAGTGGTTTATAAATTTCAAAATTTCGCCATAATTACGTTGTAAATTTTCTAATAGTTCAAAGAATCCTGAATATGAAGATAATAAAGGAAATGTATAAAAGCTACCAAAAATTGGAATTGGGAATGGACCTGATAAAGGATTTACTCTGGTAAAGTACTTTTAATAAAAGTAAAAAGTGTATAACGTTAAGCAGGTTAACATTAAAAAACTAATATCTTTGAAACCAAATGATAAATTGAGAATTGTATTTAAAAGCATGGTGAATCGTCTAGCAACAGAAGGAAGTTGAGCTATAGAATTCCCTGCCACTTACAATATTTATTCCACGGAGGGAAGCTAAAATTCATTTTAGTATGTTAAATAAATACGTCATAATTTATAGTTCCAGTATACGTATTTGGATTAAACTATTTATTGTTCCGCAGCAAATAATTCTGTAATGCTTATTTACGAACTTTTAATAAATAATATCCGAAGTGGTATTTTGCACCTCTGCAATTTTACTTCGAGGATAAATAAACGGTTAACATTTATCTTTCATTTGTTTCGAAAAAATTAATAAATTTTTCCTATCCATTTTTAGAATCCGATATTAAAAACAATTTCGGACAGCAGTTTTACGACAAAACATTTTCGATAAAGTTTTCTAACCTTTTTTTTGTTCATAGTGATTTCTTTCGTTCCAAATAAAAAAAAAGAAAATTCACGAAACTTTTTGCCCAAAAGGCTTAAATTTTTTTAATAAACAACCAGCCTCAGTTTCTAATTTTAGCAGAAATCGATCAGCTTTCGGGGTGGGTAAGTAACGGGAACTAAATTTAAAGGCGACTATGACTTGACTTCATTAGTTTTCGAAACAAAGAATTCCCTTCTTAATCTCAAGATGATTTATGACAAAATTACATATAAGAGACTTTGTTTAATAATCATAGTTCTTATTGCGGTATTTATTGCCGTTAATTATGCACATCCAACTCTTGAACGGAAGAATTCAGCAAGCATTCTTCGAAAACGACAAGATCCAAAATCTCCAAAAGAGCCGGCACCTGAACAACCGAAAGAGCCTGAACCCGAATCACCAAAATCACCAAAAGAGCCTGCACCTGAACAACCTAAAGAGCCTGAACCCGAATCACCAAAAGAGCCTAAATCACCTAAATCACCAAAAGAGCCAGAACCCACTTGTGTTGAAGATGATGAAACTACATGTCCAGAAGAACCTAAAGAACCCGAGTCCGATTGCGTTGAAAATGATGAAACTAAATGTCCAGAACCTAAAGAACCAGAGCCCGACTGAAATGAACCTAAATGTCCAGCAAAAGAGCCTTAAGAACCGACTGTGATGAGATGATGTAACTAAATGTCCAAATATTTTAGGTTATTGGCATTTAAATACGAATTTTATAATCTCGGTTTGTGGGTGTTCCGCAACTTTAGTTTTTATTGAAAATTATTATAAAATAAAAGTTTCAAATAGTTTATTTATGAACTGTCCTACCTATAATCGTTATTTTTAAAATTTAAATAAATTATTCGTTCAAATTTGCATTTCCTTTCCTTTTAGGGAAACAATTACAGCTCTTTGAAAATATTCCCATTTCTAAAATTTTACAGATTTTTAGTATTCTTTCAGATTCAATTTGGAGTCTAAATATTCCCAAAAAAAAAAAATTTCAAAGAAATTGCAGAAATAAATTGAGGCACCAGAACTGTAAGGTTGAATCCATAAGATCGGGTATCTTTTAAATTTAATCGTTAAAACCAAAGTTATATTCATTTAAACCTCAGACCCTTCCAAAAATTACTCGATTAGAAAATTCTGAGAATTTGCTTCGATTAAAAAGATAAAAATCTTGATTTATTCATGTGAGATATAAAGTATTTCCCAAAAAGGAATCAAACTTGTACAAAAGTAACATCCAACCCTATATTTATACTCATAAATTGCCTAATTTGTATGTTTCATATCGCCGAACAATTTAATATTTTCCCACAACATAAATAAAAAAAGAATGTATTACTATAAAAAGCAGCTATAATTCAAATTATCGTGCTCACCAGTATGATGTAGACGATCTTGTTTTTTAATATTTTTATGATATCACGGAGTTTATATGAAAATTAGCTATACAATGACGATAATTTATTTTAAGCAAATAAATAATACAATAAATTATACTTATTATTATACATATTAATTTCAAGTAACTTGTTTCTATTTTCAATATAATAAATAATATAAGGTAAAGATGGTAATTATGAAATATTTTTCTAACTGTAAAAGTATAATATGCTAAAGATAAAAGGGGCTAATTAATAATATCTCAAAAAATAATTTTTCTAGCAAGTGTTTAGATAATTTATTCTTTTTATTTCGCGATATCAATTCATTTATGTAGAATAGAACATCTACAATTACCACCTGCAAACTTATTTTATATTTTTTTTTTTTTTAATTTCGAAATTTTTTTTTTAATCTAAGTTTTTACTTTTTTTATTTTTTAATTAAAGATTTATAGCTATAATTTTAAGATTAGTTTTTTTTTAATTCTCATTTAGTATCTAAGTAGGGATATATTTTATTGTTGCAGTATTAATTAAATGATTATACTTTCATCAAACAAATTAAGGATAATAAAAATAATCATAATAATTGAAGATGCATTACCAATAAAAGTTGTTACATCTTGAAATATAGGTTTTTAGCATATAATTAATTGTTACTTGATGAGGCATTAAATAAAGCAATTAATCTTCTATAAACATATTAATAGGTTCGTTAAGATATCTTTCCAGTAAGTTTTCACAAGTATAATTCGTCTAAAAATAAAAATTTGTTAAATTGTAGTATTAATTTTATAACACAAAAAGGTACCTCTTTTTCGTGGTTCATAAAAAGTGGGTCTTCCATTTTTTAAAAAAATCTAATATACGACCACTCGATTTCAAATTACCATAAATTTTATGCTAGGCATCTAGTAGGTTCGCATCCTATCGCCAAGAGAATGATAAACTTACTCTTCATAATTTTAAAGACAACATCATAAAATCACACGATAATATCGTTATTGTGCTTGCGTTGATGATCGGTCATTATGAATTGGACAATAATTTTGATATTAATCGTTGCAAAGCACAATAACTTATAATAACAATTTCTTTCTTTACAAACATACTACGAGAGAAAAAAAACAAAAAAAAACAAATCATTTTAATGCGTCGAAATGGAAAATAAGCCTTATGAAATGAAGTTCAATTTGTTCTTGATTGGAATGTTAAACATGGTTAGTTGAGTTATCATAAATTATTTTTGTTGTCAATTTTCAAATATATATATATACACACATATATTATTATGTTAACTCTTCACTTCAGCTCACGTTTCAAAACCTTGTTAAATCTGTTCTTCTTTATCGCGCTGGACGGGAAAGAAGCATGTCTTTGCTTAAGATTATTTTTAATCTTAGCTGCTTGGCGTGTTCCGTAATTGATTTGTTGTTAAACATCTCTTTAGAAGAATGTATGTGGTCTAGCTATCAGACCATTTTTAAGATTTTCATCATGCAATCCTTGGCCGCTTTCATGTTGACACTTATTAGACAATACGAGAAAAGCAATTCTGACATGTGGATGAGCATTGGATTGCTTATGATCAGAGCAGGATTTCATGTAGGTATTAAATGATGTATTCATCGCAATGTTGCAATAAATTTTAATTTTTCTTTCTTTTCGTTTTGAAACTAGTTTGTATCTACTTTTCCGATGAATCCTCCACACGATCTTTCTGAAAATCCCACTTCTTTTTATGGTGGAATGAAAAGCGAAAACGGTTTTTATTTCAGTAATTTGATATCATTATAGATGGTTACGTCATGTATCGATTGATGCGGATTTTAATAAATAACCGAAAAATTGGATATTCTTATCCAAAAGATATGTTTACCATTGTCATGTATTGGAATTTGTTGACCGTCGTGAACGCATTCTTGTATCATATGTTCATAGCATTAAATATAACCGAGAAATTGGATGTTCATTTATCTCATCAATAGATACGGAATCAAAGGGTGGAAATTAGAAAGTTATGAAAGTACACCATGTAAATCATTTTTTGTATAATTTTCCATGTATTATTTTGTATATTATCACAACTATACTTAAATATAATGAAATTTTCGAATAATAAAATATAGCTAAGACATCATTTATGTATATTATAACATATGTGTATATGGATTATTAAAATTAATTAAACACATAAATTTGTTGCGTTTTTTACGTGCAGAATTGAATATAAATAATGAAGTTGGTTACATTAAATGAAAAGATAACAAAGGTTTACATAAGGAAAATTTAAATGTGGTTCATTGATCTATGTATAAACAAGAGAAATGTTAAGATGCTTATTAAACAAACCTTCTAAAAAAATTTTGTTTTTATTTACAAAAATTTCACAATTACCGCTGTTATAAAGAAATCGGACGTTACGAATGGCGCAATAACTGCGGAGAAATAACGAAAATGTTAAAATTTTTTTTATTTTTGCAGTTACTGTAAATTTAACCAACTTGTAATTGGTCTCCGAAAAATTTGAAAACTTAATAAAATTGATTTCGAGAATCGATTTTTTATAATTGATGTGAAAAATCAGAATTATTAATTAATAAACAAAAATTCAGAGTTAGATTTTTTGAGGATATTTTATGATTGGCTTAAATAGTAGCAAGGGATTTTACAATAATTTAATGAAATGTGCCTAAACAATATAATTTCACTTTTGCTATCGGCCCGAAAACACAACTCACATACAAAACCGTAACAGAATTTTAAATACATTTTTTATTTTTTGAATTTCAATTTTGACAATTTTGATAAAAATCGTGCCCTATTCTATAAAGTTGCATAATGCCAAAGAGATTTAGTATTTGTTCTCTATTAGTATATAATACTAATACCCAGGATGTACGACAAAAACGACAATACCAATCGCAACCCAAAATTAAGATCAATGCCCAGTAACCTCAAACATTTGCCTCAAAACCGGAAAGAGATCAAAGAAAAGTTTTCAGCACTTTGCCTCAATATGGAAGGAAATTATCCTTTAACTATCACCCTAATTGGATCAATCAGTTCGCTTTCAAACTGAAGGATTCAATCTAAACCGTTAAGGATAATTTTGAAATTAAACGAGTTAAAGATAAATTATCATAAAAATAATTTTTATATGTGATAATATGTATAAAATTATACTGTAAACAAAGAAATAATTTATATTATAAAGAGTTTAGAAGAATAAGATAAATGATTAACATACCAAGAGGATATGAACAAAAAGGAAGTTCATTCCAACGCAACGCATGAACATCGCTGGTAGAAACCTCGGAAGAGAAGCTAGAAACATTTAAATAACGTGAAATTTATTAGAAAGGTTTTTATTTCAAAAACATAAAAGAATTTATAACATGCTAAATAAATGACGGGATTGAACTCCAACCATGGATCACGACACTTATGGGACCAATAGATTCCTTCCAAGAATCGCGATCACTTTATGGGATCGATTAGGTTCTTCCAAGGACCACGACCTCTTAATGAATTAATCTTCTTCCAAGGATCAAGTACTTCCCAAGGAATCTCTTGCAACCGGATCGGACTTCTACCAAGAATCACGACCATTTGATGGGATCGATAGGCTTCTTTCAAGGATCGACCACATGGGTTTGATAGGTTTCTTTCATGGGCTACGATCTCCTGCGACTTCTATCAAGAATTACGTCTACTTGATGGGATCGATAGATTTCGGAGCCAAGATCACTTTCTATGAATCATACTTCAACCAATAATCACGACCGCTTGAAATGGAATTGAAGTTCAGTTCTAAAAGTGGTATTTCATCTGAGGTTTAAGATGACTTCGAAATCTAAGAACAGCCTGTTCAGGAAATTAATAATGACAATTACAAAAATTAGATTTCTTTGTCAAAGAAATAATAATCAAAAAAATTAGCGGCCACTTTTGTTCTAAGAACGGACAATATTTATATCATTTACAGCAGTATTTTGGGAAAAAAACATTAAAGAAAAAAAGAAAAAATGCCATGTATTTAGAAAACACACTGCTATAACTTTCAGTCTCAATGAAAGAAAATTTTTGTACCGCATCATTAAGTATTTTTTATATTAACGTCAAACATTAATCTTAAAACAAAATCACATGATTCAAGATCACACGAAACTATTTAAATCATAATCCCACAATTTTTTGGCAGTTAAAATATTCGTGGTATATAAGGTTAGCTTCATGTATTATGATAACTTCCCGTTTGTTATGAGGACGCTTAAATGAGGGTACCCTATGAACTGATTGAGAAATGATAAATATCTAGCGAAAAACGGGTGGAGAAGAGCAAGTAAGCAGGGTTGGAAGTACTATGGCCAACTCCCCTGGATGAAAGAAGCGACAGACAACCTTCGTGATGATTAAGGCCCATCTCCGCGCTAGGAATGAGTATCATGACGTCTGGCCCGAGTACGCATTGGTTACTCGAATTTTTTATTCTTTTGATCAATTCTTTTCCTTAAAGGTCGACAAGGAATTTTCCTTTATTAAACCAAAAATTTTTTTATTTAGATCTGCAATTTACAGTATATATTTTAATGTATCATTTTAGATTATGATTTTAACAAGTCTGTGCTTCTTATTCAAGTCTTTAAAAATGAGGTGACGTTTTTATAATGTTTTTCGCAAAGTCGAATATTTTTAAATGTGGTTTATTTTTCTTTCTCGCAAAAGTTTTTGCTTCTATCGAAAAAGGATCCGCTACTCGAAAAGATAATTATGTTACAATAAACTTGAAAATAACATTCAACATACGACCACCCATTGGGGTGCGCTGTCAACATAGTTTAACAAAACTATATAGTCCTATAGTAAAACTTACTATTAGAGATTTTTTGATGGTCATTTTAACTTCGGGCTTTGCGAACCATTTTTATAATAAAATTCTAATAAAATAACCGAAATCTTTAAAATTTAATAACTTGTACCTCTATTAACACAATAAAGTTGAATGGGTACATGATAACTTTAAAAAACATAAAATACCTCGTTTTTTTCAAAACTCGCGTAAGAAAAGTTTTATTTTATTTCGGAGTATTTTTTAAAAAAGCGATCTATTTTGTGAAAGAGAAAATATTTGGAGTATTTTCGAAAAAATCTGAAATGAAAATGATACGAAGGTCAAAGAAAATATAGCTTCGTTAATAGTAAATTTATTATAAAATAATTTAAATTATACTATAAAATAACTAATATAAAAAAAATCTTCAATAATTTTTGTTACTTTAATTAGTTGACAGAACACACATCCACCCATGTATATTAAAAAAAAGACGAACTTACTGTCATACGCGTATAATTTCCACCTCTGAAGAAGTCCAAAAGTTATATGACAAATTGAAGTAGTGAGAATACATTTCGTCGAGTTCTTAAATGAATGGCTGTTCTAAGGTGAAACGAAAGAAGCCTTTTGATGTCAAAAAGCTTTATACCCGACGGAAGAAAGAAAATGCTGTAAAATACACAGCGCAACTACTCAAAGAACGCTTGTACTGGTTGATTGGGTTGTTGGGAATTTTTCCATTTGGAATATTTCACTTCTCATGGTGTTGGATACATTTGCCATATTGAAAGAGGATTGGATAGCAAGCTTTAGTAATTACTATGATCTCATCTACAAAATGTTTTCTATCAACAGGACATAAGGAATACTCTGAGGTTTCGACAGGTATCAAAATCGAAACTAGTTTTGACGTTTGCAAATTAATTTTAAAAATTCATGTACATTTTAATACGAGATCCTGAATTTTATTTTCAAGTCTCTAATCTAGATTCGAACTACAGAGGGTGATCACGGGTACCCGAACGATAAGTATTTTTTGTTTATTCGCTTTGTTTACATGTTTACATATATTTCTAAATTAAGCATTTGTTTAGAATATAAATGGATGT